GGGTGGGAAAGTTGATGAAAGTAAAGAGGTGAGTTGGCGTTAGATCCCACAGAGACCTTGAGGCCATCATAATGAGTTGGGGTTTCATGTACTTGAAAAATGAAGTTCAGGAAGTGAAAGATGTATAAAGTTTCTACAACTGATTTCACTCTATCCTCATGGAAAGTTCTAGTCCTCATAAAATTCTCAGCCACAATCACTCCTTGAGTAGCCAGAACACTACTCCCTAAGTGGTTTGAGAAAAATAAATACTTGTGCACTCCCTGAGTCTGAGCATGGATAGCACCATTAGGCAACCCTGAGGCTATTGCTTGACTCTTTATTGGTGTGCTCTTCCAATCCTGAGTTATCTTGGGCTCCCTTCCAAATTAGCAGATTCGTATTCGTAATAGAAACATGTGGGACAAAAATAGTGATAAGTTATGTTAAGACAGAGAAAGTCCCTCCAAATATCTGTCCTAACCTCTGTTTTGTTTCTTCATGTCCCAAATTAATTACTTTTGTGGTTTAAAACCAAGATCTTAAATCAGTTGCAGATAAGGTGAATGGCTTCCAAAGGCTAACCAAGTTACATTCACCCATTGTAGATCATATGCTATTTCCTGAAATATTGGTTCCCAAAATCAAATTTTTTTTTTTTGTTTTGGGACTACACTCAGCAGTGCCCAAGGGTTACTCCTATCTCTGAACTAAGGAGTTATACTCCTGGCAGTGCTCAGGGGACTATTTGGGGAGTTCAATGATCAAATCCCTGTCTGCCATGTGCAAAGCAAACTCCCCACTCACTGCACTGTTGCTCTGGCCCCCATCGAAATCAAAATAACAAACAGGAGGACTCGTTTAAACTGTAAATGCCCCAGGACTGAAACCAGAAAACTTTTAGTCAATAAGTACACAGTGGATTCAGGCAACCCTCACTATAACCAGGCTGTCTGGGTGATGGTGAAGCAGTGCCCATGAGTACACAGTGACTGTGAGTGCTCAGATTGTGAGTACATGGCAGCTGTGAGTGCTCAGACTATCTGTGAATACACGGTGACTGTGAGTACTTAGACTCTGTCTGTGAGTACGTGGCAAGTGTGAGTGCTCAAACTGTGTCTGTGAATACATGGAGACTGAATTCTGGCACATTACACTCTGTCTAAATGTCTATAAAGGATGGGGAGAATATATATTTGAAAAATGTTTTCTTGGAATGTACTTTGCACTAACAAAAGCTCAAAATGAGCAGTGGTCATTGTACACTGTACAGGGAGCCACCATGTCCAGGAGTCAGAAAGAGATCCGACAGGTCAGTTTGGGATACATCTCATTGGCGACAATAGCACAGTGGTAGGGCGTTTGCCTTGCACTCGGCCAACATGGCCGACCCGAGTTCGATTCCTCCGCCCCTCTCGGAGAGCCCGGCAAGCTACCGAGAGTATTCGATATGCCAGACACAGTAACAACAAAGTCTCCAATGGAGACGTTACTGGGCCCGCTCGAGCAAATCGACGATCAACGGGAGGGCCTTTACCTTTTACCTTTTATCATTCCAAGGAGATAACTCGTTGATTGAAATCCAGACACTGAGACACCTGAAAGATTCCAGCACGTGCCAGGAATAATTGTTTAAAAGAAGAAGAAGAAGAAAAGACATCATAGCACTAAACCTCATTCCTTGTCCCAATAAATGTTTACCTTTATGTTGGAGGTAAAGGTTCTTGGCTGCCATATTTGTTTATCCTACATGGTACCTTTTTTTAAAATTATGTATTTATTTTTATTTTTTTATTTTTTTCAATGAAGCCCAAATTTTGTTAATGCCATGAATAATAAATCTCTATAAATTAGAAACCTGAGATGACTCTCTTAACTTATAAAGGGCATCTGCAAAACTGTATTGATCATCATATTTAATATTATAATATTTGATGGCATCAAAAGCATGGTGCTTTATTCTTTTTTTTAATTAGTGAAACACCATGAGGTACAGTTATAGACTTACAAATTTTTGTGCTTGGGTTTTAGTTATACAATGATCAAGTACCCATCCCTCCACCAGTGCCCATCCTCTACCACCATGGGTACCAGCATCCCTCCCACCCCCCAAGCCCCCTATCGCACCCTGCCTCTGTATCAGGGCATCCCCTTTTGTTCTCTCTCTCTCCTTTTGGGTCCTGTGGTTTTCAAGAGAGGCACTGAGTGGCAGTCATGTTTGGTCTATAGTCTACTTTCAGCAATACATGGTACCTTTTAATCTTAAATAATATTCTCCACTTTCAGTGGAATTCATATTTTTCCCAGTCAGATGAGTGCTTTAAAAGTAGAGCTATGATTAAGATTATGGTTCAGAGTTGGAGTTGTGACTCAATGGTAAGAGCCTATGACTAGCTTGTGTAAGATCCTAGTATTATCTCAGGCACCTCCCCCCCCCCCCCCCCCACACACACACACAAGTACAGATTAAAGTTCAGGGTGAATGATGAAATGCATACTCCAGCGACTTGAAATGTTTTCTCCATTCTGTGAATTGTTGAATTGAAGGCATCCCAGGAAGTTCATATTTATGGTGAAAGGTCATTAGTACTGTGGAAGGAATTAATCTTTTGGTTTATGAAGACAAATGTTTTATCAAAGGGTACATTCTCCTCAGTCATTTACATCCCCAGGGAACAAGAACCTGACTCCTGAGACTGCCTGGATGACAGGGAGTTGTTGTGACTGTGGCACACCAGGAGAATGCAAAGTGTCGGGAAAACCACAGGACTTAATGACATGACTCCCTAAAGCTGGGGAGAAATCCTCAAAGGGGGAAGCTTTCCCTTCAGGGAAAGAAGTGGTACTCCAGATACAATGGTCCCCAGAGAAGTGAAGAGCCATGCTAATGTTGAACTAATTGGTGTCTCTTACAAATCATCTCTTTCTGGACTTGTTTCTGTTTGAGAACATTTCTTGCTCATAAAAACGTTTGCCATAGGGTGGCATAGCTTGTGAGATTTTTTAAGAGATTCTTATTAACGCAGACTTTACTTGTTAAACCTGGAGTTGAAGACATGAGGCACAGGTGGGAAAATAGGACATTACAGGCCTTCTATTGTCAGTAGCCAGAGAATTGATGGTGGTGACAAGGGGGCACGAAGACTGTTTGGCAGCTCAGTTCATAAAACAGCACCCTTACAGGCCCCTGCAAGACTAACTGTTGGTTGATGCTGTGGACCATTAATCAGAAATAGGTCACTGACCTGGTCATCTGACAGGTAAGTGTCTGACCTCTTCCTCCCCTGTCCTCATAGCCAGGATTTGGTCCACTCCTCCTGGTTTTAGCTGGGAAGCACTTGCCCCAGGTGCCATTGCAACATCACCAAATCTGGTTGGAAAGTCCCTCTTCCTGTCCTGACTCTTTCTACCAGGAAGCCTGATTCTGGAATTTTATTTTCCTCACAGTCTCTCCCTCAACTCTCTTCTTAAGTGTTAACAAGTTATCCGTCTTCCTGCAAGCATTTTTATTTGAGTCAGAAAGTGTCTCAGGCTGACCCTGTTTCTACTTCACCAAAACTTAAATCAAGGATGTTGCCGTCTGTTCCTAAATGCACTCTGGGTTATACAAAGTATGACTTGCTTACTCAAGAAGAGAAGACATATAAGAGATCATTTTGTATCTATCAATTCCATTCTGACTGACGTCACTCAGCATAACCTCTAGTTCCATGCAGGTTGCTTAAAATTAATGATTTTGTTCTTTCAGAACAGTATGGAGTTAGAATTATGTGCATTAGAAATTATTATTAAAAAGTATTGTAGACTACAGAATCCCAATCAATGAAAAAATTTTAAGATAGAGAAGAACAGCACATGGTTTCTAAACATGCTATAAAAAAATGGTAATACAGGGTCCAAATCAATAGTACAGCAGGTTAGGCACCTGATGGGATTTAACCCAGGTTCAATGTGTTCGATCCTCGGCATCCCATATGGTCACTCAAGCACTGCCAGGAATGATACCTAAGTGCAGAGCCAGGAATAACCCCTGAGTATCACCCAGTGTGACCCTCAAACCAAGAAAAAATATTTTTAAAAAATCATATTGTAAATTATGTTTGTTTATGGGGAAAATTGACGCATGGTACAGAGAACTGGGATTGTAAATTTAAAGGGAAGTGGTTTGATTTAGGAGGGAAGAAAATCCCAGTTGCGGGGTTTCACAGATATGAGGGGATTCTCTTTTTTATGTTGGCCTCGTTATTTAATTCTTATGGATCTTGGCTTCCTCATTTGTCAAACAGAAATCGGAGTACCTAGCTTTTACGTTTATGTTAAGGATAAGTGTCTGTGAAGCTTTCACCGTATTTCTTAAAATACAATAAATGGAGCCAGTTTTAGACTAAGTCACTTAGAAGGAATGAAATCATATTTATTTGAAATTTTATTGAAATACATTTTCAAAAGTATTCGGCTCAGAAGAATCTTCTCATTTGGGAATACTTCTCTTTCTCTCTCTTACGGTTTTAACATAGTTTCTTCAAGAAAACAGCAAAGCAAACACTGACAAACTCCAGTTTATATCTTGAAAAAACTGTTGAGCTATCTCAGAAACTCAAAATGAATTCCCAGTTTTCAATGAGGGAACTGGGGAACAAAACAAATCAAGCAAAAGTCTCAAAAATCTATTTTGTATCTCTCAATTAATCTAGCCTGGATGTCTCTTGTTGCTTATCCAAAAGAGAGTGATGCTTGTCTCTGTTATCCCTAAAAATGACCTTTGTAACCAAATTTCCCTTTGGGGTTTTAATCAGAGCCTGGGCCACGAGCTCCAAAGAAGAGATTTCAGATAACACAGTGAGTCCCAGTGAAGTAAAATATAGCAACTATTGAATCTCAAGGCCCACTTTCAGCAAAATTCTTTGTACAGAGATGTAAAGAGTTTTCCTCAGGGTGCAGTACATAGGAGAGCCGAGACTGAAATTCTAAATCCCATAATGAGATCTTCAATGCTTTTTTTTTTCTTTTATGTTTTTCAGGTACTCTCCCCTGGGTATCGCCTGCCTAATTTGTGGGAAGATCATTGCAATCAAGGACTTAGAAGTGGTTGCTAGGCAACTGGGGATGTACATGATCACGGTGATTGTGGGCCTCATCATCCATGGGGGCATCTTTCTCCCCTTGATTTACTTTGTAGTGACCAGGAAAAATCCTTTCTCCTTTTTTGCTGGCATTTTCCAAGCTTGGATCACTGCCCTGGGTACCGCTTCCAGGTAGAGAACACAGAAATCACCTTTCTCTCTGCTCACTCTATCCCCTTTTCCCTTTCCCCCCAAACCCACCCTTCCATCAAAAATAAATTCAATGAGAACACCTTTTTACATATTAAAATGTTCCTAAAAGAGGTGAACCCTTTGTGCTTTTATATACTTCTAGGAACTTCTGGTCTTTCCGAAAATCTGCTTTGCTGCGAGCCGATTGGATTGGAAATAAAAGCTCTTGCTAAATTTCCCAAATAATTCTGCTACCGACAGCATTATTTTAGTTTTAAGTGTTTTCCAAAGGGTATATCAGGATATTATTCTCTTTTAAGAAATTCTTTCACCTGTAATTTTGAAAATGCTGCTATGAAATAGCTCTTTTTTGGGATGAGTTTTCAAAAGGAGAAGAATGAGTCTTCGCAGGCAAACAGTATGTCAGATCAGATTTTTCCAAACAAACCAGATGTCAGTGCATTCTTCAACCTTTCTCTAAGTGAGCCTCTAGTGGCCCATTCTGTCATTGAATTTGAGAAATTCAGGATGGCATTACTCTTGTTTGACAGCAATGCAGAGTCATTTCCTTCCCAACTAATATATATATAGATTATATAAAATGATATAGTTTTATACATTTTGGACTGAATTTAGCGTAGTTAAACAAACAAAATTGAGCACATAAGAAATTCCAGGCAGTAATTTCTGAGTGCAGAGCCAGGAGTAACCCCTGAGCATCACCGGGTGTGACCCAAAAAAAAAAAAAAACAAAAATCCCAGGCAATTTACAATCTGGGTGTTTTATTCCTTCAAATGGCAGTCATTGTTTGTGTTTCATCTGGAGTACCAATTAAGACTGAGACACAGAGCAGGTGACAGGGAAGTGTGTGAGCTCAGCAGAGCCCCATGTAGCTCCACAGGTCTCTGTGGCTGAGCTCCTATGTACTGCCAGTGAGTGGCTACTTAGTTACACAGGTTGGCTGCTCTTCAGGCTACTGAAGAGAAGACCAGAATTTCCTTTAATGACCTGCCAGCGAACCACAGTGAACCCGTGGGAGGTCAAATGGGGTTTCCAGCTTGCAACTCATTGAGAATTCAGTACTAGAGACATGGAAGATACAAGAACAAACTGAAATCATAAATTTACACTTAAATCTAGAGTACATATAAGATGAAGGGAAACACTCCCAAATATCCTTTTCCTGTTGTACATTTCTTAGGTCTAAATATTCAGTCCATAAAGATAGTGCCCCTTCACAGAAATTAGTCATTCTTTTCCTTTTCTCTTTGTCTTTTGGACTCAACTTAGAGGTACTCAGGACTTACTCCTGGCTCTGTGCTCAGGGGTCATTCCTGATGGGGCTTGCGAAACCATATGTGGTGCCAGGGATAGAACCCTAGTCACCCATGTGTAAGGCAAGAGCCCTATCCACTATACTATTTCTCTGCCTCCCATCCCCACCTTTTAAGTGCTCAGTAATATGCTGTGGTGTATGCCACAACATAGGACCTCACCCCACTGTGCATATTCGAGGCCTGTGTATTAAAGAAGGCTATGACAAGCATTTTTCTGAATGCATCTTTGCAGGCTTGTCTGATGATTCCCTCAGGCTGCATTTCTAGAAGCGGAATGTCTGAGTGGAATGGTAGGCACACTAATGGTTTTAAGACATGTCCCAGGAGCTGAAGCGATAGCACAGCGAGTAGGGTGTTTGCCTTGCACGTGGCCGACCCAAGTTCGATTCCCAGGATCCCACATGGTCCCTGAGTACTGCCAGGAGTAATTCCTGAGTGCATGAGCCAGAGGTAACCCCTGTGCAACGCTGGGTGTGACCCAAAAAGAAAAAAAAAGACATATCCCAGATTGTTGTTCAGAAAAGAACATTAGCTTGCTTCTTCACTGACAGGGGTGAGAATGTAACTTACCTTACCAGCCCTTATTCTTATCATCACAATCATATTTTCCGATCTTATTGGTGAAAAAGGATCTCATTGAATTTGTCTTCCTTTGGTTTTTTAGTCAAGTTAAACCCTTTGGGCTCTTTTTGACCATCCTCCTCCACCCACTTCACTCTGTGAATTGTTTGTTATTTTATTTTCTGATTGGGGTATTTCTCCTTTTTTGGTTGTTTTAACTCTTTTAAAAAATATTAATTAATGTCTCACATGTTGCAGATAATGCCTGCATCTCTTCTCTTGCTCACTCTCTCTCTGATTGACATTTGTCTTGAAAGTGTGGAGTGTTTTTTGGCCACTGAAAGTTTTTAATTTATAGCACTTTGAGGTGTCAGCATTTTCCTTTATTATTTAGAACTTCAGTTTTTCCAGGAAAGATTTTGTAAGAGTATTTTATGTTTTTTTTTCTAATGCCTTCATGGTTTTGATCTTAAAACCATCTCATAATTTTTATTGTGTTTTATCTTTGAAAAATAGACCAGAGTTTCTTAAATTTTTTTCTCTTGCAATTCCATTTCACCTGAAAAATTTTTATGTGACTTCAGATTAGTGAGTAAATAAAGTAGGTTTATAAGTAAAACACTTAGAGATAATAAATCCTAAGGAATTTTTTAATGAAGTTAAAAAGTGAATATGGGTCCATATAGAGTTATCACCTTAAGAAGATTAGGAGTTATAAAAATATTCCAGTGTCGTTTTAAGACAAGGTAATTCCTAAAATCATATGTGTGACCCAATCTACATTTAAATCAAAGGATATTTTGATTTAGACAAACATTTACATCAGCTAATCAAAGAAAAATATTGGGATTATTTGATCAAAGTCACAAATAGTAGACCCTTCTCCCTTACCTTTCCCTGTATTTCTTTTGAAAAAGAATGTAATTTTATTTATTTATTTTTAATTTTTATTAGTGAGACATCATGAGGTACAGTTGTAGACTTACAAATTTTTGTGCTTGGGTTTCAATTATACAATGATCAAATACCCATCCCTCCACCAGTGCCTATTTCCCACCACCACAGATCCCAGTGTCCCTCCCACCCCCCATCCCCCCATCTCACCCTGCCTCAGTGGCAGGGCATTCCCTTTTGTTCTCTCTCTCTTATTGGGTGTTGTGGTTTGCAAAAGAAGCAATGGGTGACAATCATGTTTGGTTTATAGTCTACTTTCAGCATGCTTCTCCCATCCTGGGAGGATCCTCCCAACACCCTTTATTTGGTGTTCCCTTTTCTATCTGAGCTCCCTTTTCCCCTAGCATGTGTGGTTGGCCTCCAAGCCATGGAGTAAAATTCCTGGTTCTAATCTCGGCCATTCTTGGGTGTTAGTCTCCTATTTTGTTACTTTATGTTCCCCAGATGAATGCAATCTTTCTACAAGCATGTAATTTTAGTTTTTAATGAAAATTTGCCTTTTGCGTGTTTGTGGATTTTTTTTTAAGTTAACATGACAGGAGTTACATATGAAGGGTTAACTCCAGGGTGCTTTTTTTTTTTTTACCATGATGATCACACTTAAAAAAATAAAAAGTAAAGCCCAGAAAAAGCTAAATATGCTTTCTGTCTTTTCAGCCTTGTTCTGAATGGGGATGTAGAGGGTGTTTGACCCCTTTTCTCAGTGGGCATAGAGGCTAATGTCAAGGATTATGAGTGAAGGCCAATAGCCTGTCTGCTTCCCTCCAACATTAGGGAATGTTGTTCAAACTAATCTGGAACAGAAATATGAGCATTGACTGTGTGACAATTAGCAGCATCAGTTGAAGACTGTCGTATGACTCTGAGGAAGGAACCCAAAAAACAAAACCAAGTACAGTTGGAGTGTTAGTCTCTCATTCTGGAAAGGGTGAAAATTCTATAGCCCCAGTTTGGATTGATTGGATCTATTAGTCCTGTAGGAGGCAAAGTCTGTCCAGAAGAGAAATAGAGGATATTTTCATGTGCTACTAATTATTGCCCTCTGGCTATTTAATTATCTAAAGATCATTTCAGGGCATATTGGAAAAATAAGTGCAATAAGAAAAATTACACATCCCGGTCCTTGCCAGAATGTCCCGAGATACATGCTTTTGAGTAACCTAACTGCCTCCCATGACTGAACAGCTGTTTCAGACAAGTTTCTGGTTTCTGGTAACACATCAAAGGGGCCTTGAGAAAAAGTGAGAGTGGAGAGGGATAAAGAGACATTAAGTTCTCATGAAAGCAGCTGGGGCATCAGGTATGATGGAATATCAACATGCAGATGAGGCAACATCACAAAGACTGTCCGGCAAACTGACATCTGTTCCCCTAAGATTATTATTAGTCGGTTGGTTAAGATGTGTGTGGATTTAGGCAACCCTAATTTTAGAGACCCTGGGTGCCCTAGTTCCTAGAATCTGCATTTCATGTAGTTTCCTTGGAGTTGATGTGAACTCCTACTCTTTGAGAAAACAAAACCCCTGCGGGTGTCCGTATATCTGGAGCCCTCACTCTGTCTTGTAGCAGAGGGAACTACAACAAAGGCTGTAAGTGCAAGAGAGGAAAAGCCTTGTATGCATTGGTGGTTTCCAAATTTACTTTGTTAAAATTGGTCTTATGTGATGGTTATGTACATGCCCATTTGATAAATGGGAAAGAGGAAGCACAGGCTTTAAAAAGAAAAAATTATAATCCAAAGATTTGATTTAGAGAGCACTTCCAAAAACTTTGCATGTTCAGCACTGCTTTTGATATTACCTAAACTTTGAAGCAAATTCACTTACCTTCACAGGCACCTTTATCCATATGAAAATAATATTCTAGTATCCCCTCCATAACCCTTATTCCCACAAATTCCTATTCTAAGATGCACATGAATATGTCAGGGCTTCTGGCCTTTGAAGATGGGTCATGTGGTCAAGAATTACCATTTCACACCTGGGAAGAGGTGGAATGAAGTCACTCTATGTGGAACTTTCGATAAAGAACAGAGCAAGTGCTTTTTTGCCATGTATAGTTGGAGAGATTATACAGTTGACTGATGGCCATTCATTGATCAGGAAGAAGAACTATCTGTGAGAGTTCCTGGTGAATTTCTAGAAACCTGGGTTCATGCTGATTGGCACTGATGATGTGTGTCCAGCATTTTCAGAATGGGCAGACTGAGCTCAAGGACTGTTCCCAGAGAAGGGGTGCAATCCATGTAGTTATTTGGTAAGAAACAGTGTAATTACATAAAATTCTGAGTCTTTCAAAAATTCCTCATTCCATCTCATTGTTGGTAGCTGATCCTTTTATGATAATACATTCTTTTTTTGCAGTCCAACTATTGTAGACCATTAGATGGGCTTCAATACTTAATCAAAGATGGGAACAGTGAGCAAAGGAAAATAAGACTTTGAAACTCTGAGTAGACTTCAAAAACCAGAGCCAACAAAATGTTTTGCTTATTAGCATCTAAATAAGATTGAAATTGAGCCTCCAAATCATCGGCTTCGAATCAGTGGCTTCGAATAGATATAATTTTTTTTCTTGTTAATTATTTTGACATCACTTAGCTTTATTGGAAGTACAGAACCCTTGTGGTGGCATTTCAGTTTGTCTTTTGTTTTGCTTTTCTAAAGTTGAAACAATCTCTCTCTCTCTCTCTCTTTTTCTCTCTCTCTTTCTCTCTTTCCCTCTCTCAGTGCTGGAACTTTGCCTGTCACCTTCCGTTGCCTAGAAGAAAATTTGGGGATTGATAAACGTGTGACCAGATTTGTCCTCCCCGTTGGAGCAACCATTAACATGGATGGAACAGCCCTGTATGAAGCGGTGGCCGCAATCTTTATTGCCCAAATGAATGGTGTCGTCCTGGATGGGGGCCAGATTGTGACAGTGAGGTGAGTGAACAGGGAGGGAGGGGGTACTGTTGTCTGGTCCTCTTCCGCACAATCTCCTTTCCACAGGAGCCACTTGATTTTCCGTTCTGGTAGCAGGGAAAAAAAGGATGAAGAAAATAACAGAAGCAGAATTATTGACAGACTCAAAGGGAGATGACTGAGACAGAAGAAAAGCAAGTTATTATTGGTATCTTCTGTTTGCGTGACACATGTGAAGTTGCTTCAGAAATGTGATGCGATTTACTTTCTTAATAATCCTGTAGTGTTGCATGGTGATTATGCCCAGGCCTATTTGATAAATGGGATAGAGGAATCACAGACTTTAAGGGCTCCATAGTGTTTCCAAGACAACACCATCAGTAATGAGTTCATGAGGTTCCAACTGTGACCAGCATCAGCTGACTACTACATCCAGATTCTCTGTTATTAAAACATCTCCTTTCAGCTCTTTGGATCATAATGGCAAAAATGAGGTCTTGGAAGATACTTCTCAATATGTTATATATACTCATGTTATTGCAAATAAGATAGCACGTATTTTTGTTTTTATCTAAGTCATTTTGCCATATATTTCATTATTAAAAATTTTCAAAACTACCTGGGCTGGTTCCTTGGCACCACACATAGTTCCCAAAGCACTGTCAAGAGTGATCCCTGAGTACACAGCCAGGAGTAAGACCTGAGCACCGAAACCAAGAACAAAAACTGAAAAATAAGAAAAAGAAAGAGAAAGTATTCAAAAATAGCCCCAGGCTCAATTCCAAGCCCTGAAACAAAAAATTCAAAACTTTCCCAATAGGTCATTAAAAATGGATTGTTTCTTTAAGTTGCATTGCATCACCTTAAAGATAACATTAGCTTGTATTTATGAATGCATCTAATCCTTAAATCACTCTCAAAAGTATGTACTCATATCAGGCTGCTATAACAAAATATCCTAGACTCAATGTCTCAAGTGGCAAACTTTTTAAAATTTCTCATAATTCTGGAGGATGGAACATCCAAAGTCAAGGTTCCAGAAAATTCCTTTTTCTGGTGAATACCGCTTTCTTAGCTTGTCTGTGACCACTCCTTAATGTATACGCATGGCTTTTTCTTAGTGCCTGGAGAGAAAGCATAAACTCTCTCCTACCTTCTCTAAGAAGGAAATTAACCCCAGCAAGAAGGCTCCACCCTCATGACCATATGACCTCCAAGGGCCTTATCTCCATGTATCATACGTTAGAGATCAAGAATTCAACAGTTATTTAGGATCTGCATTTGGAGCAGGCTTGAGCAGTCATGGGAAAATTTGAATACTGGTGGTGGGAAGGTATAATGGTGGTGGGATTGGTGGTGGAATCTTGAATGTAATCAATTATTGTAAACAACTTTATAAAAATAAAATTAAGTTTAAAGAAACAGTGAAATATTTAGAGGAAAACATACCTCAATCCATAGTAGGATTACAGGGAAGCCTCAGTTTCCTCATTGCACCATGAAGACAGCTTTTGCCCATTCTGAGGTGGTTGGCAACATGGTGACTGGTACAGAGTTATCGGTCAAAAAGTACTTGGTATTAATGAATCCAGAGAGACAGTTCAGTGGGTAGGGGCTTGCCATCCATATGGCTGACTGGAGTTTGCTCCCTGGTGGCCCATATGGTCCCCCAAGCATGGTTGGTCAGGACTGATCCCTGAGCACAGAACCAAGAGTAAGCCCTGGGCACAAAAACAAAAAGATAAATAAATGTTAGCTACTACTCTTGTAATGTTACTGATGCTCAACATTAGATAATATTCTTTGGATACAAAAGGGAATGTCATGGTGTTGCCCACTGTAAACTTGGTTAGAGTAACAAGCCTTCTAAGACAGGCCCTAGCTGAACATGTCCATGGCATTAAACACAAAGAAATAGAGCTGCCTCTTTTCTGTTTGTTTTTGTTTTGGGGACACATCCAGTAGTGTTCAGGGCATACTCTGTGCTGTATCTGGACTCAGAGATCACTCCTGGTGAGCTTCGGGGTGGGGGGAACCTATATGGGGTGATGGGGATTGAACCTGGACCTGGGTCGGCCACATGCAAGACAAATACCTTACCTACTATACTGTTGCTCCAGCCCCCAAATAGGGCTTTCTTAAAGAAGCCTCTAAATAAGCAAAGATGAAGTCTAGTTCCTGGATTCTCTTTAACTCAAAGGCAAACACATTTCTCATCATTTTTACAACACTGTGAGAACTTAGAATCAAACAGTGCCCAAGAGATGGGGATTTATTATTTTATAGTTTTTCATGTGAGGTAGAATTGAGGGACATTTGAAGACAGCCTGCATTGGAATCAAGCAAAGTGAGTGTTTAAATTCCAGAAAGTCATGTCTAAGCTACGTGACCCTTAGTTTCTCTTCCTTCCAACTCATGGCTTCCTCATGGAGGCAGCCCTTGCTACCTTGTGCTCTTTGTAGGGTTACTGAGCTTCTGTAGTCATAGTGGTCTGTGTATAAAGTTTCACAGTGTCCAAGAAATTTCCCTGGATATGTGATCCTGGGAGTGGAAAGACAGGAAAGCAAAAAGGGAGAAAGGGATTGAAAGGATATCCCTTCCTGGAAAGCTATTTCAGGACTTAGAGTTCCTGAATACCAAATACCCCACACATGGTAAAATTCTGGTATTGTTTGGATACAGGATGAAGCATTTCCCTTGTGCAATTTTGCCTCATACAACCAAGAGGTGACCTAACAATGTGGCCATGGTGCAAAGAATGTGTAAGAGTGACTCATAAGAGAAGCAAATGGTGTAAATAAAATTGTCAAGGCGAAGATTGTTAGACCTTGGGAATTTCCCCTTCTCTGGTGTTTTATTCATCTTGAATAAATGAATGAGAATTCCCACTTTCTAGTTATGTCTTTAGTAGGAAGTTTTCACTGAAAAGTCATCTTGTCCTGCTTTGTTTCAATAAGTATAAAAATTCATAATCATTGGAGAATGTCAATGTGCCTTTTTTTTTATGTGTTTTACTTGCTAGCTTCTGATGGGCCCATGAGTTAGCCTATGAATTAGACACCACTACTTTTTACATATTAATGAACCAAGGCACAAAGCTGTTCAATCGGTTTCCCAAACTCATTAGTGGCAGATCTAATACTTGAACTCAGAAATGGAGAGAAATGGAGATCTTTAAACCCTGCTATAGGGTCAGAGAGATAGTGCAGTGGGTTTGGTACTTGTATTGCATGTGATCAACCTGGTTTTTATTCCCGTTACCACCTAAGGGTCCTGAGCACCAACAGAAGTAGTCCCTGAGCACACAGCCAGGAGTAATCCCTGAGCACAGTCAGCTGTGTCCCATAAACAAAAACCTTGTGTGCTATGGATTTGACCTTGCAAGTTGCCTTGCCTATATAATTTTAGATCTAAACATGGCAGGATGGAGGAAACAGAAAAACTACCACTTTCTGGAGTCTTTGTTCCTTTTTTGGTGAGATTAAGTGAATTGAGGGTCTTACTGCAGGTAAGATCCCATGACTCTGAGCTTGATTACACCAATGGTCTGAACTTGGACTTGGTTAGAAAAGTTTATCATCCTCATTCTTAATTTTCACCTGGAGGACCTACTCAAGAAACTCTAGAATTGTTTAACTATTGTTTAACTGCAAGAAAGAAGCCCCTCTTAATTTTTAGTACATGTGAAAGCAGATTGGGGATCTTTATTTTCAGCACCATTATTCTGCTTAGAAATGATAATTTTTATAAAGGGCATCTAAAGAGACAAATGAATGTCAACACCCCTTTGCTAGACCATAGAACCCCGTGGTGTTTAGACAGGGGCCTATGGCCTATGAGAGATTAACTCACCTCTCAAGACAATATCACGAAAGTGCTGGGTGTACCCTTGGCATTTCTTAGAAAGGAAATAATGAGATACTTCAGGAAAAAAAAGCTTCCTTATATTTCATTATCATTTCTTGGCACCCTGTTGATGAATAATGTATTTTCCAGCCCATCGTAAAACACTCAGAAATTTGAAGCTTCATCCATTTTGAATCTGTTGATTTGTTCCCCTGATGTCTACTCCGTTGGGTCTGTCTATTTGCAATTCTGAGATCTCATATTAACACAGGGAATAGTCTCCTTAGACTTTTGCCACATAGTCAAAAATTCACTGTGCTCACAGAGACAAAAGTGCGTAAGCAGAAATGAATGCAGGGATATTCCTGTGGGAGGATTAAGTGTGATTTGTTTTTCTGCTGTAATATTTTCTTGCCTGCATTGAAAGCCATGCTTCCTGTCCTTGAGCCCTGTGATATATTTTGCTAACTGGATGTCACGAGGGGGATAAGATCCAATCTATGAAATCTATCTATAAGCTTCTATCACAGATGAACAGAATTGAAATAGATTTGGGTTTAGGTACCCTGTTTCTTTTTGGTGGTGTGGTAAAGGAAGTTTATGACTTCTGGGAAAATTAGTGTTTAAAATTGCCAGACATGGTTTTGCCAAGTGCTTTTCATCTTTCCATGACTTGAATATGTCTGTTCTCACAGCCTCACGGCCACGCTGGCGAGTGTCGGCGCAGCCAGTATTCCCAGTGCTGGCCTGGTCACCATGCTCCTTATTCTGACTGCTGTGGGTCTGCCAACGGAGGACATCAGCCTGCTGGTGGCTGTGGACTGGTTGCTGTAAGTGCTTGTGGATGGGGCTCTGCTGGGAACGTGAGTACTCACTGTTCCTTGGGTGGACAGTGTGCAAGGTTGCAGCCATGACAACTCCCTCCTCTTTCCATCCTATCTTCATCCTAACACTATATGAGTGCCTACTTAGGATCCAAAGGAGGAAGAAACAATCTTGGAGGGTCTCACAGTCTAGTAGAAGAATCAGATAAATTATAATGCAACAGTAAAAAGTAGTGACAAGTACCACACTGGTGAAGGATCCCAGTACATCATGTTGAGTGAATGAAGCACAAAGATTCCCAGAATGAGACACATTTGTTGCTTGAATGAAACTCAGGAAGACAATTCACTGTATCACTGTCCTCCCATTGTTCATCGATTTGCTCAAGCAGGCCCAGTAACGTCTCCATTGGAGACTTTGTTGTTACTGTGTTTGGCATATCAAATACATCACGGGTAGCTTGCCAGGCTCTGCCGTGCAGGCGAGATACTCTCGGTAGCTTGCCGGGCTCTCCGAGAGGGGTGGAGGAATCGAACTTGGGTCGGCCATGCTGGCTACGTGCAAGGCAAATGCCCCACCGCTGTCTGGAAGACAATATTTCTGACCATTTTATCTCTGTTGCTTTCTTGTATCATTACTGATAGTGACTTCAGTGTTGGAGGTATATAAAAGTGCAAAGATTAATTGGGAAGGTGTACAGGAAGTCTTTAGGAGCGATAGAGCTCTTCCTTACTACAGGATGCATAGGATCTCCCTTTGAAAAGACTCATCAAACCATGTACTCGAGTTGGGTACATTTTACTGTCTCTAATGATACTTATCACTAGAGTACATGAAACAGTAGCATACACAGAGAAGGATAGTGATGGAAACACATCCTTGTCTCAGATGAAAGGAAAGTGTGGAAAAATCAGGAAAAAAACAGTCTCTGGATTGGTGAGCTCACTATGTACCAGTCCTAGATAGAGCACTTGTGCCCTCCCCTTATAACATCCCTAAGTCTGATGTTCTGACTCCCTTTTGTATGAGACAAAACCAAAGCTTTACAGGTAAGCTTTTAAGAATGCACAGAGATTTGACATTAGATCTCTTCAGTCTTGAAGGCACCATGTTCTGAATCATGGTCATATTCAAGCTTCCAAAGGCAACTCAGCTGACTGAATCATTACTGATAGAAGAATAGTTCCCTTGGTTGACATATGTTCAGGAGAAAAATAGGACATTCTCATCAAGGTTATTTTGCGCAAAGGTGCTGAGACAACACACAGTGTGGGAACCTATAAGTGATGACCCGGTTCAAGTCAAGGATTGACAAAAGGGAAACCAACAGGGATCACCTCCAAAGCTATTAAGCTTGAAATTGACAATGTTCACATAACCCAGTACCTTTCTAGGGAAGGGCATTTTCTATTTTTGATATACACCATCCATTCACAAAGGCAGCCAAATTCAGCTAGATGATTTCCAATAGAGAGGTGGAAATTCATCCTCATTAAGGGCCTATATGACAACCTCTTATGAACTTTCTGAGAGATATACTCAATCTCCTTTCTGGTCTGAGAATAAATGACAGGGACTGTGGGCATCTAGTGACTTCAGTGTTGGAGGTATATAATGATAGAGCCAAGGTCAAAGAACTAACACACTCATAGCAGTTTTTCTAACATTAATTGCTATCAGTTTATAAGAGTGAAATGCCATATGGAATGAATTTGAGTTTCACTTATATAAAAACAATGGTTCCTTCTCTCTACATACTCTATTCCAAAGAATCATGCAAGTGGCAAAGAGAAAAATAAATAACATATGGGGAAGGCTAGAAGGAAGCTTTATCTCCCCTTTTAACTTGTCTGCTGTAAACAGTACAGTTTAGTTAGGTTAAAAATGAAAAGTGACTTTCTGGACATAATCAGTTCAACCCCTGAGAAGGGTAAGGAATGGATTTCCATGACTGATTTTTTCATCAGCATGGAATGCTCTGGAAAAGCAAGTGACATTGCTTTTTCTCTCTCGGGTGGTGAGGTACTTCCTTGATGGTTTGGTGATTCTCTATACACTGTCCTATGCAAGGTCTTTCTCATGCCATCTGTTCAGATGAGGTCATCATAAGGAAAGCTGAGAGTTGGTGAAAGGTTTGAGATGGAACAGAATGTGGAACATAAAAGAGGGAGTAGGAGTTATTAGGAGGACAAAGAGAGAATGGAGGCATTGGCAAAGGTTAAGGAAGAGACCCAAAGGAGGAACTCAATAGGTGTATAATGCCCAAAAGGAGAGAGAGAGAGAGAAAGAGAGAGAGAGAGAGAGAGAGAGAGAAAGAGAAGAAAAGTGTCTGCCATAGAGGCAGGCACGTGAGCATGTAGCAGGAGGGAAACTGGGGACATTGGTGGTGGGAAATGTATGCTGGTGAAGAGATGGATGTTAGAATATTTATATGACTGAAACCAAATCATGAGCAACTTTGTAACTGTGTATCTCACAATAATACAACAAAAAAGAGATGATGATGTATTTCACAGAATAACCTTTGTGGGGCCAAGTCTGGAGCTCTCACTTCAGTCCCTACAACTTCCTAGTTAGTGCCAAGTGGTTATTAATGGGGTCGAGGAGGAGCAGAGAAGTGATGTTTTGGGAGACAGACCTATTATAGTAAACCCTGGTTGGACATAAAAAAAAAAAGGACATTTTTGGTTTAACCTTTTTTTCCTCTTCCCAGTTGTAAAACAAAACAAAAGCCCAAGTGCTTAGGGACAAATGGGGTGTGATCAAGGCCTTAGCCACGGAAAATTCTTTTTTCAGCCCTGCTAGGTCAACCATTGTGAGCCCTGGTCTTCTTGGCAGGCATTTCTGTCCCGTCCTGTTTGGTGAAGTTCATTTCATGAAATGCCCAAGACCCTGCCTGTTTCTGACCTAAATGTTAGAAAATGGAATAGGAGAGTTGGGTCCTCCTGGATCACTCCACACGGGTACTCACATGCTCACACTTGCACAAAGATCACGGTGTCCTAAGTCCAGGGCTGAAACTTGCTAGCTGAAGGGAGTTGGCTGAACAACAGAAAAAATGATGATCCATTTGGATTAATAATATCAGTGAAATTGCATATGAGAAAACTTTATCCCAGGCTGGAGCTAGAAAGAAAAACACCCATGAAGACTACTCATGATCTGTGGTCTGAGTTTAGGCAATGGGAAGTCATGTGATCAAGGGAAGGGCTAGAGGTAGGGACACTTCTTCTGAGCTCACTCTCTGAAGAACTTGGGGCCAGTTACTTGCTTCTGCTTATATTTTGTGTACAATGGGAATAATCATTTATCAGCCTGAAAGCAGTCTAGACTCAGTGCCCTTGAATGCCCTTTTAATTTTAAGAAGCAGACGAGGATTCTGTGGGCAAGGGATGTTTGTATACAAATAAGCATGAACAGCCCTTTTAAGAAGAGGAGAAAAGGGGAGTGTAGAGGTTCCTGGGAAAATGCAGGAGAGGACTGTAGCTAGGTCAGATCTGCTTTGCATTAGTAATGGTGCCACATTCTTTCTCACCAGCAAGATGGGTTTTGGAAACCTGCTTGTGGCCATGGGCACCGTGGCTATAGGGTGCCCGTTAATGTGTGAGTGGGGTCAATGGGATGAATAGGGAGTGGGGTCAGAGAGCAGTTTGTGATGCCTAGTGAAATAGAGGAAACGCAGAGACAAAGTAAAGGGGGGATATTTTTCTGTCCCCACATAAAGCTTGTAAGCTCTCATAACTCTAGCAATTTTTCAATTTAAAACCAAACAAAGACTTCAGTGACATTTAATGGGCTATAATGTTTGCCAAGTACTGGAGACCAGCCAGCCTCACTGCAGCCCGCCAAGCCCTGGATGCTTTTCAGTGGGCAGGCTTAGCTGTTCTGTAAATATCACTGAAAACCAAGATTCTGAGCCCTGAAAAAGGCTCAAGTTCTAGAACACCGGATGGGCAGGGCTGGTCATATCAGAATCTTTTACTTGATCCAAGAATCCCCTTGAGTCCGGAATATTGGAAGAGGTGTTGATGAGAAACCTCATAGATAATTCCCTCTCTTGGAAGGAGTCATGATGGTAAAGTGAATAAAGATTAGGCACTAGGACCAGGAGAAGTGATGAATAACTGAATGACTGGGTCTATCCCATAAGTGGGAGAAGAAAAGAGGAAGGAAGGAAGGAAGGAAGGAAGGAAGGAAGGAAGGAAGGAAGGAAGGAAGGAAAGAAGGAAGGAAGGAAGGGAGGGAGGGAGGGAGGGAAGGAAAACGGATAGGCTCAGTATATTCCTCATCATAGAAGACTCTGATGAGATGGTTTCTGGAGCATATTTGTTATTAGAAGATATAAATAAATTGGCATGCACACGGAAGGCCTGAAAGGATCTCCATCCTTCAAGGAGTTCTAACACACCTTTCTAGAGCAAAGAGAGCATTTATTACAGAAAAGCTGAGTTAGAATTTTTTGTGAACTGTGTTTAAGCATAGCACACAGACCACCAGATGTCTCTGGTGTTGTAACTATTTTCTAGCTCAGGAAAGGTACATCTCTACTGGTCAACTTTAGTGGTACCCTACAGCAGCACCAGGATCTGCCACTTCTTCATCCTAGACAGCAACCTCAACCACTGCTTCCCACTTCCTCCTTCTATGCAGGAACCTGGGTTTATAGAGGTTTCATAATCCAGCCCTTTAGCTATTTCTGCTATCTCATCGGTCACACACCAATCAGGTTGTGCACATCCTATGATCAAGTGGATGATATATGTATATGATGGACTAATTGGAATTCCCAGCCACCATAACTGTCTTACTGCCTATCCAAAGACCAAAGATCCCTGGCCTTAAGTTCCTGCTATTTGATTGGGTTGTAGGACTTGATCAATTGGATTGCATATGAGGAACTTCTTGGAGGTTTGGATTATCCAGCCCCATGTTTTCATTTGCTTGTTATCTCCACCCCCCCACCTCCATATTCCTCCATAATACATTAATTCTCAAACTTGAGACA